ATTTGACTCAGTGGATGGAGTGCCGGGCTATGAAACGGGCTATGGAACGAAGGGTCCCAAGTTCAATTCTGGGCAAGGGCACATACCGCCCCAGACTGGGCCCTGGTCCGGGTGTGTGCAGGAGGTGCCAAACAATGTGTTTCTCTCACATCAATATTTCTGTCTTTCTCTTTCCCTTCCACTCTCTCTAAAAATCAATGGAAAATATCCTTGAGTGAGGATTAAAAAAAAAAGTTTTGAGGGTCACTAGTAGTGAAATGACTATCTCTTTTTGTTTTTTTTTTACCACATATCGTTTATATTTTGTGGGGCTCAGCAAAACCACTGAAAGCACCTCCCTGGCCCCGCCAAGTCTCTGGGCTGTGACCGGAGGAAGGACATACTGGATCTGTGCTCAGAGGGAGGCTGTTTATTGGTCAGCGCAGGTTAACCCAGCCCTTTTGGGTCTGTGCTGCAGGGATCATGCACCGCAAGTTGTGTGCATCGTTGGCAGCCTGCCTCATCGCCTTGGCTGGGCATGACATGCTCAGGGAAGAAATTTAGATAGTTTGGCTCCTGGGTAGAGGAAGGGTTGGAGGGAGGGAGCCATAAGCAAAACCAGGAAGGGGGCTACGATAATCCAGGCAGACGCTGCGTGGTGGAGCCATGCAGGTTCGAAGGAACCCTGTTGAACTCAGGCAGAAAACAGGAGAGGAGAAAACAGGTTCAGGGAGCAAGGCCACTGCGGTACTGTTTCAGGGGCACTATTAACGTTTATTCTGTGAACACGGCACTCCCTGAAACACAACAGATATGAATGGTGGCTCCTGGAGTTGTGCACTGAGCGGTCCTGTGGGAAAGGTGGTAGATAATGGAGCTGATCCCTATCTAAACACCAGGGCATTTCCTACTATACCGTGCTATGGCCTGTGACAGTTTATTTATGGATAGATAGCATACTTAGGGGAAACAAATCAAACACATCACAATAAGGATTTTCACAAGAACCGGGTAGGCTTATTAAAATTAATTTAATGGAATCCCACCAACACTAGGTTATTTAACAAGTCAAGGTGCTTGATATATCCTTAAATCATCGCTTAATAGGAAAAAACAAGGGCAAACAAATATGAGGTCCAAACTATTTACTTTGGGCTTCCCCAAAATAGACAAATGAGCAGCTTTACAGAAACTGAAAACACTAACCACGAGTGACTACAAATTAAAATTTTTCCCCAGAGACATTTCTTGCATTATCCCAAAACTTTAAGGTGAATTTCCCTCAGAAAATGTTTTTATAGTTATCTTGGCAATAAATACATAACTTTGGTAAAAGTACATATTTACTACTTTACATTATTTTTTAAAAACTATGTAGTTCTTATTTATGCCAAGCACACCTCAACTCACAAGTGTTTCATCCTTACTCTCACCTATGCCTACTCACTCTGGAGGAAGGAATATTTCTTTGGGTTGAGTCAGGATCTCAATATGCTTTGTCCAGGAAATTGAAGGTATGAAAATACTTTTAAAAACAATTACTTGTTTGCCTGCTGACATGGCTCAGTTGATGAGCATCCATCTATCAGGGTTTGATTCCTGGTCAGGGACATGCCCGGGTTGCAAGCTGGATCCCCAGTAGGGGGTGTGCAGGAGGCAGCTGATCAATGATTCTCATCATTGATGTTTCTATTTCTCTGTTCCTCGCCCTTCCTCTCTGAAACCAATCTATACACATAAAGAGATAATATACTTGCCGAGTCCGGTTTGGATCAATGGATAGAGCGTCGGCTTGGGGACTGAAGGGTCGTGGGTTCGATTCCGGTCAAGGGCATGTACCTAGGTTGCAGGCATATCGCCAGTGGGGGGTGTGCAGGAGGCAGCTGATCGATGACTCTCTCTCATCAATGTTTCTAACTCTCTATCTCCCTTCCTCTCTGTACAAAATCAATAAAAATATATATATATAAAAAAGAGAGATAATATACTTATTTGTCCGTTAGGTGTCCCAGTCACGGCCAGTCTGTGGGCGGGGACTTCTGCCCCCAGAGCTGAAGTCAAGCTGCCTGCGTGCGTCCCCACCCAGTACTGAGGTGAAGCTGCCTGCTTGCATCCCTTGCTAGGGACGTGACACTGCCTGCCTGTATCCCTGTTCAGCGCTGACATGATCCTGCAGGGGGACTGGGTTAGATGGGAGACTTCAGACTGTGCCTCCCTGCCCCGGTGCCCGGCAGGACCACCTCAGGCCATGCCCTTCGCCTGGTGGGCTTTGACAGAGACCTCGGGCTGTTCACCCCACCTTGGGCCGGGGACCTCATGCTGCACCCCCTGCCCCAGCGTCAGGCTGGGGGACCTCAGGCTGCGTTCCCCACCCAGCTGGGCTTGACAGGGTACCCCAGGCCGCACCCCCCCCCCCGCCCCCGCCCGGTGGGGCTTGATGAGAGAACCTAAGACTGCGCCCCCCGTGGAAGGGCTTGATGGGGTGGCACTGCTGGCAAGGTCTGGGTCTCCTGAATTTTCGAAGTGTGTGAGGGTGGTGAGTGGGGACTTAACTCTAGGTCCCGCAGCACACCCGACTCTGACAGGAGGGAGATTTTATATGCATTTTACTAATCTTTCATCTCTGACACTTCTATAGAGAAAGGGCAAATAGAAATATTAAAATATTTATTCTAATTAATTCCCCCTTTTAAAAAATATTTTATTTATTTTTTACAGAGAGGAAGAGAGAGGGACAGAGAGTCAGAAACATTGATGAGAGAGAATCACCGACTAGCTGCCTCCTGCATACCTCCCACTGGGGATGTGCCCGCAACCAAGGTACATTCCCTTGACCGGAATCGAACCTGGGACTTTTCAGTCCGCAGGCCGATGCTCCATCCACTGAGCCAAACCGGTTTTGGCCTAATTAATTCCCTTTTAATGTGCACAAATTTCGTGCACTGGGCCACTAGTAAAAATATAAAAACAAAACAAAAAACAATACTGGTTTATTGCACATATGAAAAACCAGTCATATTAGGGGTTAACAGGATAAAATAAAACACTGACCAGAGCTCCTTATGTGATTAAAAGGGAAAGAGAAAGAATGTATCACAGAAAGGCTTTATGGATATTGTTAAAAAAAGATTTCTCTGAAAGATGATAAAAATCACTTTGAGAATGTTCAAAAATAAGATTCAGCCCTAACTGCTTTGGCTCAGGGGATAGATCGTTGGCCTGAGGACAGAAAGGTCCCAGGTTCGATTCTGGTCAAGTGCATATACTTTGGTTGTGGGCACATATCCAGGGGGAGGTGTGTAGGAGGCAGCTGATCGATGTTTCTAACTCTCTATCCCTCTCCCCTCTTCTCTGTAATAAACAAAAAAATATATTAAAAATAAGATTCACAGAACTGTAGAAGAAACATTAAGATTTAGAAACATCTTATTTGACTGATGAATTTCAGAGTAATTAGGCAACCTGACCAGAGCCACTAGTTATTGCCAGAGTCTAGCTAAAGGCCCAAGTCTCCTGTGTTCCAGATGAATGTTCCTTTTTCCTTCACTATACTACTCATCTCTTACATGTTCCTAACCACTTGATGCCTACCCTAACCCTGTCTGCCCCATAAAGCATTCCTTAGGGACAGTGAGAGGAACAGAAGTGTGGAGTATGTAGACCATTTAGAATAACAATGGATGAAATATTATTTCAAATAATGACTGGGCTGAAAATTCATTTAGCGGTCAGGAGCAGAGGGGAAATACAAAAGAAGGAAATTCTGCAAACAACAAGAGAAGCACAAGAGGAAATATCCTCTTTTGTTATTTTATTACTGTTATTTTATTTTTTAGTTAAGTCCATATATTATATAAAACATAACAGGAAAATGAAACAAATTTATAAAATAAATTGAGGTGTCTGGATGATAAAACACAAGAGCTTTGCCTTCATGTTTATAGATATCTTGATATGTGATTGGTCTTTCACTTTAGATATCCAATAAAGATATCTAGCTTGAAACAAAATTGATATACTGCGAGATTAAGCCATACTTAGTTTGATGATGGGCCAGGAAATGATATATTTTCTAGATCTTATCCTTAAATATTGGCCATACCAAATGCTGATATAACAAAATACAAGCTTTTATGCTTAGACAGCAAGAAGGAAACTCGAATGAATGCAACTTACCTCCAAGTCCTCTGAAGGGAGGTGAAAAATAAATACTGTGTTTTACCAGTGTTCTTCCCAAAGCATTACTCTAATAAGCATGCAGGAGGATGCTTGAGCAGCTGTAAGATCCAATCTAGAGGTAGGTTCAAGGCCAGAGTAGGAGAATGGTTGAAGAAATCCTCCCTGAGCCAGTAACACTTCACAGAATGCCCTTTTGTTCTGGGGGATGAGTCTATGGCCTATTTTTTATCTGATTCAAAAGGACATTCCCGATTTCAACCTTGTTAAAAAAAATAAAAAAGAGGCATTTTTGTACCTGCTATTATAAACAGCTAGGATACAGGATAAGACTGGCATAAAAGTATTTAGCAAGCACATGCTAGCTATTCCAGTTTGAAATCTACCAAATTGTAAAATCAAGGGGGAAATAAAAAGTTGAAGATGGAGCTGTTATTCCTCAAGATAAGGGAACAAAGTCTTTAAAAAGAGGGATTAGGCACTCATTTAACTCTATATGGAGACCATCCTTCTGAGGCTAGGAGGGGAATGAGGAACAGCATTACCACTGGTCGACAATGCCATTTGGAGACCAAGAGGAGAAGAAAAAAGGGCATTTAGGAAGCAACTTCTGGGTCTGACTAGGTAAGTGAACCTTAGGCAAGTGAACCAAAGACATGCTACCATTACACCAGCAAAAGCTGGTAAAAACATCTCAAGACATTTTAAACTCAGAGAAATGTATGAAAAATATGTTAACCGAGCAAATGAAAACCAAACCTCCAAGGATAAAAATCTCAGATTTGAAATCCAAGATACTCACTTTTCCTTAATTCTGTGCATTATTAGAAAAAATAAAAAGTAACAAATGTAAAGATTTGTTTTATTTCTACTGGGAAAAGAGGAGGATAAATAGAACTGTTTTCCAATTTGCTCTCCATTGTGTACACACATACCCACACGCATTCAAAAAAATACACACACATACCAAAAATACCCCAAACAAACAAACAAACAAAAAAACAAGAATTAAAAATCAAAACACCCTCAAACTGCATCAATACTTTGGATTTTGACCAAAAGAATAGATCCTGGGAGGAAGTGCAAAATGCAAAATCAAATGACCGAAAATGCTGAACAAACAGCATTATTAATATACAAAATATTTATATTACTGAACTAGTAACAGTTGATGTTTTCCGTGTCTGTAAAACTTTGGAACCACATAGCTGATTTGTTAAATCTAGTCCATGCCAACTTCCAAAAACCAGAAAAGATTTTAGTTAGCTTCATTCTTTGATGCCTCATCAAAATTTTCTACAAGATCTGGAAGGAAAAAAAAAAAAAAGTAAATGAGTTAAAGATACAAAAAAAAAAAAAAAAAAAAAAAAAGAGAGAGAGGTAAATAAAATTCCTAACTTCTAACCCCAATAAAACAAAGTTGTTGCTACTAGAATCAGCCTGAAAATATATAGGATAAGGAACAGAAATGAACTGGTGGCATTTCACTAATAATGCCTCATTTATCTGCTTAAACAGTAATTCCAAAAGAAATTTTAGTCTTTTGTGTATACATACTAAGGTGAACAGAATTTCCAGATGTCAATCATAATTCCCACAGAAATATTATAATAATAACTACCCAAATTTATAATCACAGTGATTCCAAATTCATATGCAGGCAGCAAAGCTTTGTGTGACAATTTCTGATTCTAAGTTCTAAATGAGAGGGCTTTTATTCTTTTTCATTAGATCATATCCACATCACTGTGAGTGACTATAAATTCACAAGCTCACCAGCAACAAAAAATTGCAAGTCCTTATGCAATGAATTAAATGAGATCAGTAGTATGTTAAAAATCTTAGAACTAAAAAAATGTCACTTACCTGGAACATCATCATCTTCCTCATCAATGTCTTCTGGTTTTGGTGCTTTGCTATCCAACACTGCAAAAATTTTATTTTAAAATTACTCATTGAGAACAAAGACACCCAGAGATACTTCATATTTTCTTCATGTCTAAATCTTAAATAGTTGTTCAGAAAAAGCTAAATATTATATAACGTAATGCCATATTTCTTACTTAATACTAAAATCAATAAAACTGTAACTTCATTAGATATACCCTAAATACAGCCGGCTATTTCAATGGGCACTGCATGTAAAACATATATATATATATATATTTAAAATATATTTTATTGATTTTTTACAGAGAGGAAGGGAAAGAGATAGAGAGATAGAAACATCGATGAGAGAGAAACATCGACCAGCTGCCTCTTGCGCACCCCCTACTGGGGATGTGCCCGCAACCAATGTACATGCCCTTGAACGGAATCGAATCTGGGACCTTTCAGTCCGCAGACTGACGCTCTACCACTGAGCCAAACCGGCTTCAGCGTAAAACATATTTTAAAAAATGGAGTAATGCAGATTAGTTTGAATAAAAAGACATATTATTAACTTATTCTCCAAATTAAAAAATCAACATTCAATATTTTTTTTCATCTCCTTTGGTGTAAGAAAGTATCTATCTATGTAGTATGAACACTGAAACAATAGGCTGTTTGATTTTTAGGAGTGACAAAACACACAGGGACTCGAATGGCATGTCTCATTGGTTGAGTGTCAACCAATGAACCTGGAGGTCATGGGTTCCATTCCTGATCAGGGCACATGCCTAGGTTTTAGGCTTGATACCCAGTAGGGGCATGCAGGAAGCAGCCAATCAATGATTCTCTCTTATTATTGACGTTTCCATCCCTCTCCCTTCCTCTCTGAAATCAATAAAAATATATTAAAACATTTTTATTAAAAAAAAAACAAAAACCTCATATGAAACCAAAACTATTTTGGAAATTCAGAATGTTTGGTTGCTACATTTATAGTACAATAAATAATACTAAACAAAAATATAATTCTGTGATAGCACTATGTTTTTTTTTTTAAATTGTATGGATAAATATTTTATTCATGTATCTTAACTGCATTTTTTTCCAGGATATAAAATGTGATAAGAGCAAACTCAAGAACGTGGGACTCCAATGACAGTGGGGCAAAATTCTGAAACTGTTGCCTTTAAAGTTATATTAATGATCACACTTTAATAGAACTTCTTTTCCCTTCTCTCTGACCACCTACACACTCCATTTCTCAACCATAGAAATAAATATGTCTACAATCCGTCTGGTTTTCATAAGCAATAGTAATGACATTAGCCCGAGTTCTAGCTCCTTGGACGCAGAACTGTGATAATACAGTGACCTGTGGGCATTTAGGTCCCAACGTAACACTCCTTGTCACCACACAGCATCGCTGATTTTGAGCCAAGACTTGTGCCCTAAATATAGTGCACCAGTTAACACAGGTGTTCTGGAATACCTGCTCTGTCAAATGAAGGGGAGGTTGAGAGGGAAAAGGAAGTATGATTCTATTTTTTAAATACAATAGATTTAAACCTACAAACGGTGCAAAAACAATATCAATGTTTAATATCACTGAACTATACACTTAAAATGGTTAAAATAGTAAATTTTATGCTATGTACATTTTACAACAATTTAAAAAGAAAGCCTGTATATGTGTTCTGAAAACTATGGTTATGGGTTTCATAAGTTTTCACAATTGTCTAATAAATTTCCAGGTCCAACATATCATCTGTTATAACTCTCTCTGCAATGTAACTCCTATTAAACCTGCCTGCTTAAATAAGTCTCCATTCATCAGGAATTAGTAAAAAGCACTATCCACAGAAGTCTCCAGCTAAAAATAATATAGAGGAAAGTATGATCTAAAGAGTGTGTGTTAGACGAGGAGTCTGTGGAAAAGTCACTTGCTCCCAGACTGTGTGTGCACCTTTCTAGGAAGCGCAGAAACCCCACCTCCTATCCCACGCTGGTCAGCAGGAGTTACCAGGCCTCAGGGTCACGTCATATTTTTAGAGATCTGGCACCATTCCAAACAACTGAGGCTGCCTGCAGCCACAAATGAGTCTTCACTCTCTTGCATCTAGTCTAGAATGAGCCTGCAATGTTAGTGCTGAGAGAGCACACAGCAGCTCAGAAGCTGCAAGAGAGCTGTACAGTCACAGGTACAGGATTTTGGACTAAAAATGTCTTAACGTGAGAGAGCTATTTCAATAAGGGGAAAACTCAGAGCCATGGGCTACAGTTGTCATGGACGTCCTGTTTATAATACACCCAGGAGAAACCTCTATCTCTGCACATGAAGTGAAATCATACTTGGGTATCTTCTTACCCTCTCCAGTTAGCACATCTGTGGTCTTTATGTGTGCGCGAGAGGCCCAGTGCACAAATTTGTGAACAAGTGGGGTCCCTTGGGATGGCTTGTGGGGGATCGGGCCAAAAAACCACAGTCTAACGACGCCCGCAGCTCCTACCTGCTGCTCCTGCTCATCCTGGCCCCATTGTGCTTGCCATGGGCTCATACCCAATCAGTCCTTGCCAGCTGTAAGCCCTAACACAATGCCTGGTACACACTATGTTCTTGCTGCCATTAATCAGAAGTAGCAATTGACTGTTTTTAAAATGTGGCCTGAAGATCCTGGCACTTTCCTTTTAGGTAATTACTTTCTACCCACAGGATTGGGCTAAAACTGACTCTATGACATCACTCAAGGGGTTCCAGATTGTGAGAGGGTACAGGCCAGGCTGAGGGACCCCACAGTGCATGATTGGGGCCAGGGAGGGACTGTGGGAGGGTTCTAGGGTGTGTCCAGCCCAACTTGCTCAGTCCCAATCAGCCGGACCCCAGCAGCAAGCTAACCTACCAGTCAAAATGTCTGCCCTGTGGTGGTCAAGTGCACGTCATAGCAACTGGTTGACCAGTTGACTGTCTGCCCCCTGGTGATCAGTGCACATCACAGCGAGGGGTTGAGCAGCCTTAGCATATCATTAGTACATTATGCTTTGATTGGCTGAACAGTCAACCAGTCACCAGATGACTAGACACTTAGCATATTAGGCTTTTATTATATAGGACTAGAGGCCTGGTGCATGAAAATTACCCCAGGCCTTAAAGCTGCCTGAGCTTCTGGCTCCCTGAGCTCACGACTGCTGTGAGCCCATGGCTGCTGTGAGCTCTGGGCCTTGAAGCCTCTGGGGCTCAAGGCTGCCTGAGCCCACGGCTGCATGAGCCCTGGGCCTCACAGCCGCTATGGCTTTGTCCAGATGTAAGCCCTGTGTCTGGCACCCATGAGATTGGGCTAAAACCGACTCTCTGACATCACTCAAGGGGTTCCAGATTGTGAGAGGGTACAGGCCAGGCTGAGGGACCCCACAGTGCATGATTGGGGCCAGGGAGGGACTGCGGGAAGGTTCTAGGGCGTCTGGAAGACGCCCGCCCTAATTAGCATATTATCCCATTATTGTATAGATAGCAAATCTAACACAATGCCTGGTACACACTATGTTCTTGCTGCCATTAATCAGAAGCAGCAATTGACTGTTTTTAAAATGTGGCCTGAAGATCCTGGCACTTTCCTTTTAGGTAATTACTGTATTTTTCGGACCATAAGACGCTCCGGACCATAAGACGCACCAGTTTTTAGAGAAGGGAAATGAAGAAAAAAAGATTCTGAAACAAATAGTGTCCTAAAATATTTTATGTGCATTAAAACCCAACATCACAGTCATAAACACATGTAATCAACCCTGTAAAGTAAACAGCAGCATTTAGAACCATTTTAGAGCCGGGCAAGCACACAGAGACCACACAGAGCCAGGCAAGTAAAAAAACTTTTTTTTAAAAGTATATGTGTAGGCTATATTTGGACCTTAAGATGCAGGGACTTTTTCCCCCCACTTCTGGGGGGAAAAAAGTGCGTCTTATGGTCAGAAAAATACGGTACTTTCTACCAAAATGTATTCAAATATTCCCTATGGCACTCTGCATAATTATTAAAGAAGCCAACTAAAAAATTTATGAAGTATACAAGTAATACTATAAAAGTAAAATATACATACAGGCAAATCCTTCCAGCATTGTGACACCTTTAAAAATCATTAGGTTCTTTAAGGTGGGGAGGAAAAGAGGAACTAAAATGAAATACCTACCTTGCCGAGGGAACTGTTCAGCTAACTTCCTAAGGCTTGTTAAGCTGTCAGCACCAAGCTGACTTAAAATCCCAGGAAGCATTTCTGTGATTGGTTTGGCTTCTGCATGCCCGGTAATTGCAAAGGTGTTAGCAGAAAGGGAAGCTTGGACTTTGGGGTTGTTGAAATGAATAACTGTTCCATCATCTTTAATCATATTTACCTGTATGAACACAAAAGAAAATGTACTTCACAAAGGAGGTACAACTAAAACAGTATCTTTAAAAAAACACACAAATTAGCCAATTATGTTGTTTTTAGTTGGTAGTTATGCATTCCAAAGGTAGTAATTATCTTAGTGATATGGGTGGAAAAGACCCTAGAAACAAAGTAAAATGGTGTAGATAGCACAAATTACTAGGATGGTCAAAGAATCTAGATTTTACATTCAGACTTCTTCTATGAAAAAAGAAATTCATGCCCACATTAAAAAAAAAAAAAAAAAAAAAAAGTAATAATAAGCCAAGAACTGGCTTCTTAATGAAATAGCCATTATCTTACTCAGTTTACACTATCCCAAACTAAATTGGGATATTGTTTGGCAGCAACTTATTTTGGGGACAGGTAGTAATGGGGGAATAGTGTATGGTAAAATAACCACTGAAAATCCATAAAGAACACTCAGAAATTTAATCAATCAGGTGTTTCACTCTTTTGAACACTTAGTAAATTTATAAAAATTTCAACTTATCATGTCATTCTCTGTAGAGAATTTTATCAGTTCCTCTAATTTTTAAGTGTTGCTTCTCAACAACCTTCAATAACCCTTGTAAATGTGAAAGAAGCTCTCCTGGCTACTTGAACATGCTTTATCAATCACTGGGAAACCTTTAAAGCCATCCTCCCATTCTTTCTATATGAACTGACTATTTCAGATGTGATTTAATCCACAGCCTGGGTCTTATTGAAAAGGTTGAGCCGGCACCGGTTTGGCTCAGTGGATAGAGCGTCGGTCTGCGGACTGAAAGGTCCCAGATTCGATTCCGGTCAAGGGCATGTACCTTGGTTGAGGGCACATCCCCAGTAGAGGGTGTGCAAGAGGCAGCTGGTCAATGATTCTCTCTCATCGATGTTTCTAACTCTCTATCCCTCTCTCTTCCTCTCTGTGAAAAATCAATAAAATATATTAAAAAAAAAAAAAAAAAAGAAAAAAAAAGAAAAGAAAGGTTGAGCATGTGCTATTTAAAATGTTATTTTTCTCTCACTCGTGCACTTTCTGTTTTAGTAGAATTGAATTTGCATATGTTAAGTGTGTAAAGACTGTGCTTTCACTATGTAGCTGACTCCATTGGGTAAGTTACCTTGGTGGTAACATGCTTATTATATAAAAAGGTTAGTTAACTCTTGGCTACTTTAGAAGCATTTCATGATCCATCCAAAAACTGCCCTTGTCACAATAAAGCAGAGATGCTGAGTGTTCTCCATGGTTAGTGGAAGTGGGCTTTTCTTCCTCAGAGGTGATCACCACCACTGACAGACAGCACCAGAAAGGTAGGGGAAGAAAGGGGCGCCTAAATTTCAGGCAAGACCTGGAACACAGAGAAAATAAAGGCAAATTTCCTGGAAAACTATAACTTAACCCCACAAATAATTTTCCCCCATTTTTTTTTTCTGACAGAAATCACTAGTTCAATTCTATACCCTTCCCTCTCTCAGTATTGTAGTTAAGGGTCTATTTCATATATATATATATATATATATATATATATATATATATGTATGTATATATGGGGTCTAGTAATAATTAATGTCGTTTTTAAACATTCGTTTAAAATCTTGCTTGGCGTTGACTTGTATTGACATAACCTTCAAACACGTGGTATCTACAGAACGTGTGAAGTGCAATTAACAAGGTTTGCTTGAAAAAGTTTGTGTTTGGTTTGGTTTTTGTTGCAAAACTAGGGCTAAGAAGATGGCGGATGAAGAGCATATTCGGCACTGCATGCTTTACGAGTTCCAATTAGGAAGAAAAGCAAGTGAGGCTGCAAAAAAACATCTGTAGTGCTCTTGGTCAAGATGCAGTTAGCGCCAGAAAATGCCAGCGTTGGTTTGAGAAATTTCGCGAGGGAAATTTTTCGTTAGATGACAAGAGTGGTCGAGGCCATGTGTCCAATTTTGATCAAGAAGCTTTTCAAGCTCTTTTGGTGCAAAATCCTCAAATTACCCAACAAGAGCTTGCGACAACTTTAAATTGTTCACAAAAAACAATTTCCAATCAATTGTGTGCACTTGGCAAAGTCCAAAAGTTTGGAAAATGGGTTCCTCATGAGTTGACCGACAACAACCGTAATCAAAGAGTCACAATTTGCAGTTCGCTCCTCTCTCGTCAAAACCGTTTGCCGTTTTTAGAGCAAATTGTTACCAGAGATGAACAATGGGTGCTGTATGTTAATTTGAAAAGGCGGCCTCAATGGTTGGACAAAAATGAGGCTCCGCAGCCCACGCCAAAACCTGACTTGCATGCGAAAAAAGTGATGTTGTGTGTTTGGTGGAATTTTAAAGGAATTCTTCATTATGAACTTTTACCATCTAACCAAACCATTACAAGTGCAGTGTATAGTGCCCAATTGGAAAGGTTAGCCCAAGCTTTAAGAGAAAAAGAACCCGCGCTGATTAATCGGAAGGGCGTAATTCTTCACCACGATAACGCACGACCGCATACTGCAAGAATCACTGCTGAAAAACTGCGCCAGTTGGAATGGGAAGTTCTCCCTCAACCTGCATATTCTCCTGATATTGCCCCTTCCGATTACCATTTGTTTCGTTCTTTGCAAAACTTTCTTCTTGGAAAAAAATTTAATAATGAAGAATGCCTTAAAAATGCATTGACCGAATTTTTTGCATCAAAATCACAAGAATTTTACAACAGAGGGATTAAAATGCTTCCTGAGCGTTGGGCACAAGTAGTAGAAAACAACGGCAACTATATTGTTGATTAAAATTTGTTGTATTGTTTAAATAAATCCGATTTAAAAAAGTATTAGAAAACGACATTATTACTAGACCTAATACATTGGTTGCGGGCACATCTCCGGTAGGGGGTGTGCAAGAGGCAGCTGGTCGATGTTTCTCTCTAATCGACGTTTCTAGCTCTCTCTCTCTCTCCCTTCCTCTCTGTAAAAAATCAATAAAATATATATATATATAAAAAAAAAAAGAGTAGGCCTTCCTTCCCCTGGCTGCGGGCACTGACTTCCCTCCAACAGCTGGAATCTGGGCTTCCCTCGCAGACCCGGCTTTGTCCAGAAGATCATCTGGAAGGACATCTGGTCTAATTAACATATTATACTTTGTATATATACATACATATACATATATGTATGTATATATATAAAGTATAATATGCTATATATATATGTATACACACACACACACACACACACACACACACATATATATATTACACACAGTAAGCAAATCAAAACTTGATTTTGGGTTTCTTCACTTTCTATTTAGTTTCCTTCCTATTATGCCATTCACATTCTTAAAATGTTTACTTAATTCAATCCAGTTGTTCTGAACAAATATCGTGAGTTAAAATTTTTATATTAACTTTAGAAAAAATATAATTCTGAAGACAATTATAGTTTAGTTAGAACAGTTCAATGTTCAAGTGGCTGAAAATCTAGAAGAGAAATGGCTTGAGAAAAAGGTGGCACAATGGATATGAAATAAGATGTTGCTCTAGACTTACTCTAGAATCACATAATTTAAGAATAAAGATATGGTAGAGCTAAATTTTCCAAATCAAAACCAAACCATATAATTTAATAAAGGACTTCTACAACACTTCCATGCATTAAAAGCCTCTCAAACATTGGAATTTGTGATTTTTAAAATTTATAGATGTTAAAATCACAGAAGATTTGAAATCAATATTGTTCTCAAGTATGTCAGGCCAGTGGTTGGCAAACTGCAGTTTGCAAGTCACATGTAGCTCACAAGCCACAGTTTGCCGACCACTGGGATAGGGGCTTAATCACAAGGAACAATAATACCCTGTAATTATTGGAATCGAGAGTCTAGGTCAGTGGCCGGCAAACACATCAGTCAACAGAGCTGCAAACCGCGGCTTGTGAGCCGCAGTTTGCCGACCACTGAGTCAGGCCATATATGTGTTGAAATTCTAATTACAATCTGTTGTTAAAGAAATAAATACTGAAGACAAGAAATCCTGGTTAAACAACAAAGACAAATAGCTGGTTATGAGCAAACCAGAACTTGAAGTTGAGTTTCTTAATTTTCTGATTAGTTTCCTTCCTATAGTGTCATTCCACATTCTTAAAATGTTTATTTACCTATAAAAATTCAATTCTATGATCCTATGAATACTTGCTAGAGAATTATTTATCTTAGAATAAGATAAATGAAGAATGCAAAAGGAAAATAGCATAGCTATGTGGATAATGCATATCTTCCTCATTTACAAAATAAATAAGAGGCTGACCCAGGACCAAAAAGAATAAATATTCACGAGTTTTCCCTCTGTTCAAGCTACTTTTCCAAGGACTAAATATTAAGTCATATTTTACATCCTGATGTAGGTCTTTGTAGTCTGAAATACGTTGCTTGAGTTTAGTGTGAAAAGCAAGATGAATTCCATCTCAGACTATGAAATGGAAATAAATTTATTCATGGTTGTTTTAAAATGGAGTTTGTATAAAAAAAATGTAGTTTCATGAAAAAGGCCCAAAAAGGGCTGGAAAGTTTAATTAATTTTAGAAGAGAGGATAAAATACTAGAAGTTAAATAGGCCAGAATATTTTGTTTCTATCTAACATTCCTTCTTCTCTACTGAGCAAATGACACAGTTATATAAGGCTCCTAGACACAAGCTATTAGAAACTATCAAAGGATGAAATTGTTGGGCTGATTAGTTAAGACACCTTCCCCACCCTTTTAGAGGTAAAAAAAAAAAAAAAAAAAAAAAAAGAGCTAAGGAACTTGTTAAATGCACAAAGCAAACAGCATGTATTTTATATGGAGAATTAACTTTTTCCAGCAACTTTACTGATGTTTGGTCTAAATAAGTCATATAATCTTCATACAATAGAACAAGGAGCAGACAAGTAAACAAAATTTATTAAACTAGCCCAAACCGATTTGGCTCAGTGGATAGAGCCTGCGGACCCAAGGATCCCCGGTTCGATTCTGGTCAAAAGCATGTACCCTGGTTGCGGGCACGTCCCCAGTAGGAGGTGTGCAAGAGGCAGCTGATCGATGATTCTCTCTCATCGATGTTTCTAACTCTCTATCATTCTCTCTTCCTCTCTGTAAAATATCAATAAAATATACATATTTTAAAACTATTAAACTAGCTATATACCCTTTCTCAATCAATCCGTTCCTTTATATCAAAGTATTTTTTCCCACTTAACAGGTAGTTAAAAGTATGCTACTTGACCAACGGAGGAGGAGTTTTTGAGACCCCCAGTCCAAGCACCCTTGCTCTTATTTTTGGTTTTAACAATATGGACACATCTTGTAGTTACCAGAAAATATTTTGTCCTTTTACCCCTACTGCATTTGCATATGCAGTTTTCACTTTTTAGAAAAACCTTGTCCTGCTTTCCACCTTGTAAATTCTCATTTGGCTAAGTCTTGGGTCAGATGCTCCTAGACTCAAGGTGATTTATGCACATTCTTTACTTCGTGGGTATTACAACTAAATAGAATTGTTGTAGTATAATCGTGTTTGAAAGTTTTTACCTCATTAAAGACCACAGGCCTGGTGCAAGAGATTCCTGAACTGGAGCTGGGGGTCCCTCAGCCCAGCTTGAGAACCTCTCGCAGTCCGAGACCACTTGGGGGATGTCCGCCTGCTGGCTGAGGCCCGATCCCCCTGTGGATAGAGCCTCAGCCAACAGTCAGACATCCCTCTCACAGTCTAGGGCTCTCACAGTCCAGGATCCCTTGCTCCTTACTGCCCGCCTGTGAGAGAGGCTCCCACCACCACTGCTGCACTCGCCAAGCATGAGCCCAGCTTCTGGCTGAGCAGCACTCCCCCTGTGGTAATGCACTGGCCACCAAGAGGCAGCTCTTGCACTAAGCGTCTGCTCCCTGGTGGACAGTGCACAGCATAGCAACCGGTCGTTCCACTATTTGATTTGCATATTAGGGTTTTATTATATTGGATGGACTCCTTGATATCAGAGACCATGCCTTACTAGACTTAGCAAGTATCCAGCACATAACAGTCACTCAAATTTGCTGAATGGACACCACCTATTCATGGATGCTGTTAGAACTCAACTCCCAAATAGTAAATGAGGGGTCATCTCAAGTTTAGAAATAGCACCATTAATAACCCCAATGAAGATACCCAGAATCCTCTGGGCTATATCTTTGGTCTTTTTCTATTGTTCTGATCTTTCATAATCAGCCCCACTGCCCTACAGAATTTAGGGCCAGTTTAAGTCATTCCTCATAACTGTTACTATCAAAACTTAAAAAACCCTGCCTTTTCTGGCTTCCTACTAGATCACACATATTAATCCCAGCAGCCTCCTATCTGGCAAATCTCATGCTTGTTTTATTTTTACACAGCAGTCGTTTTTATGGCTATCGGAGGCTCACAAAGTTATGCTTGACTCCATAGCACTTGCTGACAATGGTGCTCAGTTCAGAGAGGTGGTTTAAATTTTTCTATGTAATTTTTTTGTATCCAAGTCCCTTTCTAGGCCAGATAACTGCAGTTGTGAAAACTTGCTCCTTACTGTCCGCCTGCGGGAAAGGCTCCCACTACCACAAAAGGTTTACAGATGTTTATCTAGAAAATAATACAATGAAGCAGAAATTCAGATTTTTGGTGACACTGTTCATCAAACAATTCTGATAAAAATAAATTGTTTCTGAGAAATAGAACAACTACTATTGTTGATAGATTAATGTTATCAAGGGAAGAAAAGTGACAGCACAGTCACTATATCCAACTAGATTACCAAATAAGAAGCACATCCATATATCTTCAAATTATTAAAACACTTCCAGAAATTTAGTTCTGGGTTACACTTTTGGAATTCACCTAGGAATGCCTTCCTAAAACCTGGCTTTGTATGAAAACAGTCTCTGATACTTCCCTGTCCTTTATTTTTTGACAGCTTTGGATTTCTCCATCTTTGGTAATATGTAAAAGAAATCTATATATGATTATAATTATTAAACCACATCAACAAGCTAATGCAAGCATAAAAGACCAGAGAAGCTTGTCTTAATCCAAAGAGTCATTCAGTTTTTAAAATTTCTCAAGAGGACTTAAATTAAGCTTTGGTAAGGGAGAAAATTGACCAATACTGACAGCTTAGGAAGTAAGGTTAGAACTTTACTTAGTAAAAGTGTAACTAATTTGAGTGTTAGAAGACAGCATGCATGCATGTGAACACAAATGGTGCATGTGAGAGTATGTACATACCTATTACGTACCATTAATTTTATATATGACGTTCTGGAGCTATGACTTTTCAAGAAGTTAGAATTGTACTGGCAATACCAACAATTCAGTTTAATAAATACCATAATAAAAGTCAAAACAGGTCATTACAGGAAAGATATCTAATTCTTCTTTGCATAAATATGTATATGTGCTACCAGGAAGGCTTCTGAGAGGAAATAACACCTGCATTAAGACCTGAGTAAGAAGAAATAGCAATGTCCTCGGAAACAAGGGGATTTCTTTTATCTATAATTAGAGGCCAGATGCATGACATTCGTGCACTGGGAGGAGGTGGGGGAGGATGAAGGTTAACTCAACCCAGCCTGTGCGTTCTTGCTGACCAGAACCCCTTGGGGGATGACCGACTGCCAGCTAGGCTCAGGGAGCAAGCCTAAGATGGCAGTCGGACATCCCCTGAGGGGTCCTTAGCATGCTGTGGAGGCGTGAGAAGCTTCCACCACCACCACTGTGCTCGCCAGCCATGAGCCCGGCTTCTGGTTGAGGAGCACTCCCCCTGTGGGAGCACACTGACCACCGGGGGCAGCCCCCCTGTGGTCAGTGTGCGTCATAGCGATTGGTTATTCTGCCGTTTGGTTGATTTGCATATTAGCATTTTATTATATAGATGGTGAAACTAATAAATTCTGCATGGGTGGTGCCCAACAATACAGGATATAAGGCAGGTACTTCCCCTTTCTTTGGTAAGTGGTACCACACATAGTAATGACATATTAAATCTAACTTATGGCAGTAAAAATTTATACATTGGTTATTGTCAGAAATGGAATCATTAGGTAGAAGTGGATCTAGATGGTCACATTAGAAGTAATTGACATTACGATAATTTTTTTAGTGTCTTTTGAAAGAAACATTAATCTTTGACTTCATATTTGAGAGAAGTATTATCATTAAAATATAATAGTGATTTAAAAACATTCAACCAATAATTTTTGAAAGAGGTCTAGTAAAATAATATCTAATCTATAAAAAACTATTACTAGAGTTTCTTGGCTAAGATAATAGTTAGAGAGACTTATATAGCAGAATAGTGTTCTTATGAGGGAAAAGTCCATCATATTTGAAGAAATCTTGGGGTTTATTTCTATATTATTAGAAAAAAAAATCTTATTTTACTTTAAAATGTAAAAGTAGTTCCATAATTTTGTCATACATGCAAATACTTTCAGTCTGAAAAGTATGAATTTATTAACTGTCTACTAAGATCATTTTTTGGACAAGCATCCAATTTTATACAATCAGTAAATTCAACAGCTACAGTCCATCAAAAATATCTTGAGTGACAATATCAGATTCTCCTATGGTGATATTTTATATTTGAAAAGTGGATAATTATTTGTGAATGTGCTATTTGTCCACATAATTTAACAATTTACAAAGTAATCATACCTCTTCAATACCAGCTATATTATTGACAGCCAGTTTTTTTAGAGAACTCTGAAGTTTTTTGTCATCAGCTGTAGCTGTTCTATGTACCACCTTCTTCTTTCTGCGAGCTGTACCCTGAAAAATAACCAAACAGAAGGGTTAGCATGCCTTGCATCTGGCAACCGCAATCATGCCTTCCTATCCACAGTACTCTAAAACCCACATAAGAAATTACTGACTCAATAGTAATGATTAATAATGCTCAGAATTGTGTTTGTCAGCCTAATCCAGATTTTTGAAGGTCAGTTTTAGCCAGTTCTTCCAATTTTCAGCCTTTATAATCTCAACACACTGTTTCAAAAGTTTTTTTAATAAAAATAATTTGTAACTTCAAGACAATTTAGTGTGCTTTAGAACAACTTTCAAACATTATCAGGATTACTTTTTTACAGTACCTATCACACCCTGACAATAAAGTCTAAGGAGATTATGACATAATTAATAATCAAATGCCTACTATGTGAGTGTTCTAGATTCCTAGCATCTAGGAGTATAAAACATCAGGTTCTTATGTCAAGGATTACATATGGTAGTGGAAGGGTAGTAAATATTTATTTATTCAAGTAGTAAACAAGTTAGATCATTTCAAAGGGGATAAGTGTATTAAGAAAACACTGTGATAAGAGTATTGTGTGGGAGCTAAGCACTATTTTGTTAGAATACTAAGGAAAAGCCTCCTTGAAAAGGTGACATCTGAGCTTAGACCCCTGGGAAGATCAGCGGAAGATTGATCCAAGCAGAAAGAAACAAGAGTGAATCTGTTGTGTCTAAAGAGAGAAAGCAGGTGAGTATGGCGAGAGCAGAATGAACAATAGGAAAGGAGGAAGAAAATGAAATCAGGAGGAAGAAAATGAAATCAGAAAGATAGGTAAGGACTAGGCCAAATAGCCTAGAATGCTATAGGAAGGACTTAGATTTTATTCCAATTGCAATAGAACGTCCTTGAAAGGTTTTAATCACAAAAATGACTTGATCTGATTGACTATTTTAAAAGATGACTGAGGTTGCTACAGAAAATGAACGATAATGAGATAATCAGGAAGCTGCTATAGCAGTCCTGATAAGAGCTGAGGACTGTGGCAGTGGAGATGGGGAGAACTCAGACCATCAGAAGAACCAACAGGACTTGCTGATGAATTGGATGTCAGATATGAGGAGAAAAGGAATCTAGAATGATGCTTAGAAGTTTGGCCTAAGCAAATAGGCTGAAAATTATACTATTTACTAAGAAAGGAAAAGCTCATTTCTAAACAGGTACTTAGAAATTCTAAATATATATATTTTTTCCACTGAAAAACAATAGACAATAATAGATAAAATTCCTGGGCCAATTTAAAAAATGAAACTGAAGGCAGAGCCAAAATACTAAAAAAGCAGCTCACGTCTTGAGGGCTACTCCTTTCTGAGACCTGGCAGGAGCCAGGGGAAAGGAATGGAGGTGTCCATCTGAGTAGCTCCTAGAGGAGTGCACAGTCTTACTGAGGGTAGACAGGGGCTGCAGCTTCAGTGGGAGTGGAAGAGAGCTCTGAGTAGCAGCAGAGATTGTGATAAAATCCAGCTGCTGGAGGAAGGATCATGAATAACTTTCACAGATGGTCATTTATTTGTGAAACATTTCTGACTTAGGGATAGCTTGATTGCTTGCTGGATACCTCAACTCAAATGATCCTCAGACACCTCACATTCAATATATCTAAAAGCTTGTTAGTCCATCAAACAATTTTTATATTTCCTAAGTTTTGTAGCTGGCTGCACCACCATATATGCAGTCTCTAAAGCCAGAAACCTGGAGCTTACCCCAGACTCTCCTCTCTCCTCTTCATCCCCCATATTCTATCAGTCACGTCAACTTCAATCCTTATATTTGTGTCTCCCCTATTATAGCAGCAGCATCTTGACTGTTCTCTATACAAACTTCTATTTCATTCAAATTTCCACATTACCAGCAGTTATCTTTCTAAAATGACTGTTATTTCCTTCTTAAGGTCCTTCAACAGTTGCCCATTGTCTCAAGGATAAAATCCTCAGCTCCTAGGTACGGCATATAAGACTATAATCCAACCTCAAGTCATAAACTCTAACCTCTAGCTGTACCAAACTAAAGCAAATCACATTAAAACACCATACTACCTCAGCATTCTTTGTGCCTCTACATGTGTGAAAACGACAATCTCTTTTTAATCTACTCACTTACCCTGTCACCTGTTTACCTAGTGATAAATTTTATTTATTCTTCACATCTCAGCTCAGTGATTACTTCCTTGTCTCTCAGGGACAAGAATGCCCTGTACTTCACTTAACATTTATTACTCTGTAACGTAATTGTGAGCATGTCTCTCAAGTTGAGAAAGAAACTTTAACTGGTTTATATTCTGTGCTATGTACACAGTAGGTGCTCAATAAGCTAGTTAAATGAAAAAAATTGTGCCAACCACCTCGTTTAAAATATATATTATAGTGATGTGCTGTATCAAGCTTTTCTAGGTATATTCTATGGTTCTTGAATATTCCTAGTTTTTGCATTGGTACATTATATTTGATGCTACAATGTGCCTACTTTGTTTACATTAATGTTAATGACTCCAAAGCCATATAATTGTATCACCATGAAGAGAAATTACTAGTCACTTTTTCCCTTCACCCTTTCCTGTCCCCATTCCCAGGAGCTGTGGTTATCATCAAACTAAATGACACAGTTGAGTTGCTACATAGTATCCTACATAAGCACTATTCATGCTTTTCCTTTTGCAAAGATTGTACTGGGCAGAGATAAAGGTAGAATGTTCTCCTTGAACCTGAAGACAGAGTTGAAGGGAATCAAAGACGTTCTGTGCTCAGAACTATCTCTTCCTTAGGCTTCAGAGTACATGGAATAAGAATGCTCATGTTCACATAGGCAGGAATTTGGGAGGAAAATCTAGCACTGAACAAAACATACAATCAGCTGGAATATCTTCAGCTAAACCACTTGTAAACCAAACTGTAGCAGAGAGAGTATCCAGCACATTTGGGATGCCCTGAAGGTGAATCTAACATAATTATAGTTATCAACCCTGGCCAGTGTGCCTCAGTTGGTTGGGCATTGTCCTGTATACCAAAAGGTTGCTGGTTCGATTCCCAAACAGGACACATGTCCAGGTGGTGGGCTCACTCCCCACCTGGGAGTGTACAGGAGGCAGTCAATCAATCTTTCTCTCCTTCCCTAAAAATCAATAATAAATCTTTAAAGTAATAATAGCTACCATTTATTAAATATCTACTCTGTACCAGACACCAGGTTAGGTGTTTTATAAATATTACTCTGATTTTTTTTTTATTTTTATTTTGGTGGGGGGAGCATCCTATGTAGGACTATTTCTCTTTTGCAGATGTAAAATGGAAGCTTAACAAGTTTGGGTAGCTTTTTCCTGTTCGTAACTACCAGATGTTAAGAGGATTCAAACGAAGGTGGCTATTTCCATTGCACCACCAGAAAGAGAAGTCTTCTGGTTAACTACTTTAGAGCTTGACAAATTATTTTCAAATTGGAATGTGGTTTGATCTTGATTATTGAAAAGATTTTAGATTTTCAATAACCACAAATCCAAATAATAATATTTGATAATAATAATACATTCTCCTGCCAATTTTTTTTATGCCACACTCACCTTGCCCCCTATCCGGACCTGAGCCTGAAGTTTGGCTAACTTTTCTTGATTCATGCTGTTGGTAAATCTATGGGGGGGAAAAATAGATTTGTTAAAGTTACTGCTTTACCAAAATAAAATAACTGTTTATGCAACAGTACCTTCTGGTCCACTGAGTTTGCAGCATTCATTATCACCATGATCACATTAATACTGCCTATATTCTTAATAAATATTAATAATTTTTTCTAGCTTCATAAACCAGATATTAAAGGAACAAAAATTAAATAACATAATGAGGGAGCCGAATATACAAATGGGATTCAAAGTTACCTATTTGAAGATCCCTCCTTAAATGCATGATTCAGTAAAACCTAACCAATAACAAAAATCTCTGTAGGCAAGCCAGTTTTTTACAGCAGAGAACTGTTACCAAATGTTATTAGCACAACCTTTAAGTAAACTTTTTCTCCCAAATCACATTCTGTATTCCTTGTAAGCCACAATTAAAAAAAAAAAAAAAAGCTGGACAAAGAAAAAATTCAACAATAGGCTGTGTAGCTGTCAAGATATGAGGTAGTCATGTCCTCTATTCAAGGTCAGATGGAATGTTAATAATAGGGAATGAGAACCAGTTTTTAGAGGTTCAGTGCTTCTGCAGCACTTTCCACAGAGTTCATTCAATATCTTGCAGTGATATAATATGTCATACTTAAGATATGCTTGCATACAGGGCATAATGCCTAACAATTTGACATAAAAACTTATCTCTGCTACATTAATACTAAAATTGTGTGGGGGAGAAGGTGAAGATACTTTTAAATATTCTAAGCCCTTTAAGGCTAAACTTAATTTTGAAAATTCTAAGGACATTTTAAAGTCATGAATCCTAGTCTGGTCAGTGATATTCATACTAAGGAAAAAAGTACTTAAGTTTATAATGAGCTATAACATTCCACACTATATAAACAAATAAAAGCCAATGTTGAAGCCTTGTTTTACTTATTCTGTGGATCAACAGATCATTGCTGAGATGTGAGAGATGACATAAAGTACAAGCCTTTTTTTGGCCAATTCTCTAACCTCTTTATAATGATCATTCAGATGAAAAAGTCTGTTTTCTTCATTTGAGAAGTGAAAGAGAATCAAAGATTATTCCTAAACATTCCATATTCTGAAACTGTACTTAGACACTAACATATCTGCTTTAAGGCCAAATAAAGTCCAGTTTCCAAATAACATTTTTTTACATTAATTCAGTATTTATTTACAGTCTTCATTTTCCCAGTTGTGCAGCCTAATCAAATAACGTTTAGAATTTATGATTCCCTAAAATCATAAATGTTCCCAATGTTCAAGCAGCTAAAAACAATCTCTTATAGGGGGAAGTGTGATTACAATACAAAATCAGAGGTCTTCAGTGTGTCATACTTAAATTTGCAGACGTAAATCCCAATCTCTATGCTCAATATCCACAGAAAAGGACCAATATTCACTTTTCTCAAAGGAATTGGCTATGAAGATGTAGTGAACAAAGAGCTAAGGACTTTGACAAAAAAAAAAAAAGGGGGGGGGGCTAAGTGAAGCTATTAGAACTAGACATAGGGTAAATAAACCTTTTGGGACTCCTCTGCATTTTCAAGTGACAACCCCCAAGAGATGGAAGAGAAGAGACAGAAATCAAGATTAAAAAAAAAGGAGTCCTGACTTATCTGAAACAAAAGCAACAAAATGAACTATATCAATGTGTACAATGAAAGAACAGAATCCATTTCAGGTAATCAGGACAACAGAGAACTTGTTCTCAAGGAGTATCTCAGAAAAAAGACATTTTAGGGAGGTTGGAAGCTCAAGAGGATAAGGGGAAGAAGGGCGGTCCTTTGTCTATTAGCAGGTTGGGGTGTACGGAATTCAAGTAGGAAAGAGGATTGGTCTGTCTAGGAGAAATGTCAAGGTAAGAAAGTAAACCTGAAAGATCACCTAGTTTACTTTCCTAGTCCTCAATCAACCTGTGATTTATGGTCTCGTAAGTAAGGCTGTCTCAAATATATACTTGCAAACAGCAGCAGGGTAAAAATTATGAACAGTTCACCTCCCTCCCAACTTAATAGATTTGCAAATGAAGGCCCAGAAGGGAGAAGACACTTTCTAGGCCCAAAAGGGAGCAGTAACGTCCTAAAGGGCTTAGGATCGTTGAGTTTCTCTTTGGAGGATCCTAGAATCTTTTAGCCTTTTCCTTCAGGACTCAAGAAAGGGTGTCCACAGTGAGGTTATACTCCATATTTATTGAGTGCCCAAGTTCCAAACATTAGAGTAGGTATTTTCCCATCCATCATGTTTCCAGAAATGTAGTAATTCCAGCCTTTAGTCCTGACTTTTTTTTTTTTTTTTTTTTTTTTTTTTAAATCATGTTGGGTTTCTCTAAGGAAGCCGTAAGCTTTGCAATCAGAAGAATCAAGGTTCGACCCCTTAGCGTTTCGGAAACGTATTTTCCTTCTCTGAACCTTTGACTCTTCTGTACTAGAAAAAGGTGTTAACACCACTCCCTTCAAAGCGTGTTTTCATGGGAAAAGGTTATCGATAGCACAGGGTATATGACTCACAGCAGGTCCGCAAACACTGGTAACTATTGTTACCAACCCCGAGGGGACGGCTAGGGTAAGGTGAAAGAACGTGGGAAGAAAGGGAAGTTGAAACCACTATTCACTAGCGATGTTGAACACTGTGTGTCAGCCGGTCGATCATCCATTTCCTGACAGCCTCCTGAGCCTCCCGGAGTGCGATGGGGGCTCTCCAGACCCGCCAGGCAGCGGGAGGCCGCCTGGTCCACAGTTGCTGCCATTTAGGAGGCAAAGGGCGCTGCAACGCAATCCGGTGCAAGCTGCAGGGTGCCGACCGGGGCTACAAACCTCAGTTTCCCTCTCTGTCGGGAAGAACCAAATGAGATGGCAACAGACTGGCTGTGGAGAGCTCAAAGCTCACGACACTGTTTGCATGATGGAAGAGGAACAGGGCAGAGGCCGGGGGATCACCCGCCTCCTGGGGCTGGATCTGGTGAATGGCAACAGCGCGGGCCCGCTCGCCCCCGCAGAGGGCGGTGGTGCTGGGGGACCGTCCCTCAGGTGCCGACCCCCGGCTGCGCCGCCGGTAACCGACAGACCAGGCGGGCTGGCCGCCTCCGCCCCCACTTGGCGCGCCACGGCGGAAGTGGCAGCCCGAGAGGCTGGCGGGTGTCGGAGGAAGAGGGCGGGGGGGGGAGACCGTGCGCTGCGGCCTACTGCCGTGGAGTGGCGGGACCGCCGGGGGTCTCACCTGAAGCAGGGAGAGTCCTCCACCACCAGCACGCGACAAGAGCAAGATGGCTGCCTGAGCCCACACAGAGAAAGACGACGGAGGCGGTGGTGGCGGCGGCGGCAGCGGCGGCAGGAGCGGGGGTGCCCACGTGATAGAGCCAGCCCTCCGCAGAGCAACCTATCCGCGGAGAGCATGTCCGAACTACAAGGCCCAGCCTGCACTGCGCCTCCCAATAGCGAGGTGACAGGTGCGGGTGGCCGCGCTGCATTCTGGGGCTTGCAGTCTCCCAAGCTTTCCATTGTGTCGGTGCCCGCACTATAGGTATAGGTAGGGAGCGTAATAAAAGCGCAGTGTGTATTGTTTGTTTGGGTGTGTACTTTATCAGATGTCTTTTACTTGCCATTAAGTATACACTGTCGCACTCAATTAAGTATCCACTTAGGAGGCGAGACAAGGAAGTGTTGACCTGTGATGACACAGAGAAAAAAAATTTTTTTGAGGAAATACTCAACCCACAAAGTTTAAAGACAACAAAATAAAAATAATAGAAATAACTAAAGCAAATAAAAGCAAATAGATTTAACCAGAAGAAGCTTCACAGTTTAAAATGCCTGCAGTGACTTCTGTCCTGGTTCCCTGAAGAGGTAGGTCAGTTTTGCAATAACAGACACCAAGTTCGGGTATTTTCCAGAGCATGCATCAGTTAGTTGCATAATTCCCTGAGTGGAAGAACTGCGGTTGCAAGGAAAATAAGGTCCAACGCTTCTTCTCCAGCAAGAGGAGGCGTTCTTGCAAGGCACGGAGACCATGCACCGCAGAACAGGCTTTCTAGGTCTCCTGGGGAGACCAAGCAGGAGCCTAAGAATGAAACCCTGTTGTCCAGTCTTTTATGTTTGCGGAGGGGGAAGTGGGACCGGGCCCCTGTTTGGAGCAGCAGATTTCAATCAATAATTTGCTTTGTTAATATTAAGTGCAGAGGTTCTAGGGGGCGGGGCTAACCTGCTGGCAGACGGCGACCAGCAACGGCTCTCCGAAGCCTCCTCCTCCCCACCCCTCACTAATCTCAGCCCATTTTTTTTTTCTCTCTATGTCCTCCGACTGAACACCCCAAATCGGGGCTGGGGATGGGGGGAAAGCAACTAGCGTTTGAGAGCAACACCACCTATAGCCTTCTACGTGATCTGCACCTTTAAACCCACTCGATCACCATCCGGACCCCGGAGGCACCACCCACATCCGTTTAACATCACTTCCTTCAGAGTTAAGGGGGAAAAAAAAAAATCTAGGAACTCGAAGGGTTGGGTTGAGCCGCCTTTGGGGTAGGGCGCGGACCTCCTGCTCTAGGACTCCCGGCTCTGCGCCTGCTCCGCCCGGGGACCCCCGCGCACTGACCACCATGGAGCTGCGGCCTCGTCCCGGGGCCACCTGTTTGCTGGGCTTCAGTCTCCTCCTGCTCCTGGTCACCTCTTCCGATGGACTTACTGGGCTTGGAAAGGGTCAGACCGCATTCTTATCTTAATCTTTACTTATCCTGGGTCCCAGCCCAGCACAACCCTCTTCTCCTCTTAACACGGTCCCCGTCCCTTTCTATCTCTTAAGTCACGCCAGGTTCTTTTTTTATCCTAGCCAGCCAACCGCTCTTGGAGTCTGAAGATTTATTGGAGCAGGGAGTAGCGGGTTGAGGGGATGATGGGATGGGACGTTGTGCTTGGTAAGAGTAAGGAATGGCCCTTAGATGAGAAGAAGCATGTTTAAGAGCTCATCGGCACAGTGCTTAGCACTTGGGAGGTCCCCAGAACGGTCAGCTTTACTGCTAGGAGAAACAGGGCCTTTTCTGGGGGGACATGCATATGTAGAGAGAGAGCCTTGCCCTTGGTCTGAAGATGCCCCAACCTACCTCTTCCTCAGGAGTAAGGTTACTGCCTTCATACCCTGGGGGATGGGGGGTGGGGTGGGGGGAAGCCACACCTCCATTCCAGGAAGTGGTGACTGGTGCAAGAGGAAAGGTTAAAAGAGGGTAGAAGGTCTGAAGTCAGAGGGGCCACCAACAGGTGTCCCTCCTGTGGTTCAGTTGGTGTGTCTGAAGAAACGGAATTGTTTGTGAGGGCTGAGGAGACAGTGGTTATGAATAGGGAATAGAAGACGTGATCTCCCTACTCCATCCCATTTCTTACATCTTCCTTCGAACTCGGGGTTTATGCTTTTCTAAGTGGGTGAGTGGTAGCATTGATTCCCCTCCTCCCTTTCCTTTTTTTTTTTTTTTTTTTTTGTACTGATCTTACATCTTACTCTATGGAAAGACTGTGCAGCAGTTCTGCTGTTTGAAATTTGATTTTTCTCTTATCCTCCCTATTTGTTCATTTATCGGTGTGTGACGAGATTGGGTGGACATTCAGTGTGCCTGAATAATGTAGCCCCTCCTTTTAATTCAGTAAATAATTTTTGATCACCTACCATATTCAGGCACTGTCTTGGACACTGCTGTTAATAAGAGTTTCAACTAGGAATAAGTACTGGAAATAAAATGAAATTGGGATGGAGAGGCTGGAAAGGATGAGGGAACGGATATTACCTGAATGAGGAAGGTCAGGGAATGCTTCTCTGAGGTGATACGTGGGTTTCCATCTCAGCGATGAAACTGCATGGAGAATTCTACTGGGCCAGAATGTTTTCAATGCTGACAACCCCATTTTAAAACAGATTACTGTATATTTAGTGTGAAATTGTAAGAACCAAGAGAGACAGAAGGGTAGTGTTAGGAGTGTGGGTTTTGATGTGAGTTTCAATTTATTCTGCCACTAACGATCTAGCCCAGGGCAAGTTGCTCAATTTCTCAAAGCTTAGTTTCTCATCTGCAAAAGTGGGCATAATAATAACTGCCTGAGACATCAGCAGGTAATTTACTCTGTTCTAGTTACTGTGTTCGGTGTAGGCAATCCCTTGGAGTCATGTATTCAGTACTTTTATTCCTGGTTAGACACGGAGCTCTTGTGATTATTCTAGTTGTCATTGCTGAATAACAAACCGCTCAAACATTTAGTGGTGTGAAGAGACCATTTGATTATGGTCAATTCTGTGGGTCAGGAATTCAAAGAAGGCGCAGTGGGGAAGGTGTGTTTCTCTGTTCTGTGATGTTGGAGGCCTCTGCTGAGCTGGTTTCTTCATGGGCTAGCGTGGGCCTCCTCACAGGAAGACAGCTGGATTTCAAGAGTGAGCGCCTCAAAAGAACAAGGTGGAAATGCATAGCATTGTTGTCATCTAGCTCTACAGGTCGCATAGCATAGCTTCCGCTGTACTCTGTCTGGGCCTGTTCACGGGGTGGGGGTGGGTGGGCATTAACCTCCCTCACTCTTGCTGCAAGGGGGAATGTTGAGTTCACCTTGTAAGAAGAGCCTGTGGAATGGGAAGTAGCCAGAAGACTAATCAAGACAAGTAAGCAAGCAATTACAGGCGTTGTATAAGTAGCTCTGGCGCTTTCCAGAGGGTGGCCTGGTGGTTTGCAGACAGGAGAAACTGCATGACTCTACTGTTTTCAGGAAATACAGTGGTATGGTATGAGCACTGAATTAGGAGACTTGGGATTTTCTGTATGTGTGTGTGTGTGTGTGTGTGTGTGTGTGTGTTGTTGTTGTTGTTTTAAATATGCTTTTATTGATTTTTAAAGGTAGAGGGAGAGAGAGAAACATCAATGAGAGAGAAACATCGATTGGCAGCCCCCTGCATACCCGCTAGTGGGGACTGAGCCCATAACCCAGTCATGTGCCCTGACCAGAAATTGAACTGGTGTCCTCTTGGTTCTTGGGTTAATGCTCAACCATTGAACCACTCCAGCCGGGTAAGGCCTGGTTTTAATCCTCATCAGACCATATAGCCAGCTGTGGTCTTTCCTGCAGACCATTTATTAAATAAGAGAGTTGAATTAGAAATGATCCCTAAGAGTTCTTCCAGACCTAACCTTCTAGAGTTCTAAAATAATTTTCTTATTCTCTATGTGCTAAAAATTTGAACTATATTACCTATGGGGAGAAGTGTAACAACTGACATTTACTGTACATTGCTATATTCAGGCACTGTTTTGTGCATTTTTCGTATATTGGCTGGTTTAATCCTCATAGCAACCTTCTGAGATGGATGACATTAACATCCCCATTTCGCAGATAAAGAACCTCTAGTGGGCGCAGGAGTCACACAGCGAGGAAGTGGGCCAGCTGGGCTCCGAATCCCAGAGTCAGTGCTCTGCACAAGCACACACACTCCTGCTCTGAGTGCAGAAAGTCCTCTGAAGACTTTAAAGGAGCAACGAGGAAGTTGTTAGTGGGGGTAGTTTATGTCCTCCTGAAACAGAAAAATAAATGATTGTCAAGTCTTTGGAATAAAAATTAGGGACTGACAAATGGGGAGTGTTTACATTCCACATTGTTTCCTATTCACATTCACAACAATCCTATGGA